CCCCAAAACCCCAAAACCCCAAAACCCCATTAGATAAAATATGGTCTTCAAATACAGTTTAATGATTTATATAACAAATGGCCTTAATTTTATATTCATATAGATCCAAGACTTCTTTCTATTCTGGAGCAAGTATCCTCTAGTAGATTCATAAAGCTCTCTTCGTTTTCTTCCCTCTCTTTTCTTTCATTGTCAATTTCTCGAGATAAATTACTCTCCATATCTATTAATTTAAAAATAAGATGGTTTTACCTTCAATCATCCTGAAAAGGGTGTTTTATGTTTCCTCTCTGACTTTTCTTTCAAGCATTATCATATCAGAGTACTTGTTAATCTCATCATTTAGCTTCTTCATTAATTTATTAGTGTTATCTTCTCTAGTTCTTCTTTCAGCTTCCAATTACATCTCAACCTTTTCAAGCAAATCGTTGAGTTCATTACTATAGCGTTCTTCAGTCTCCTCTCTGCCTTTTTTACTCTTTGCCAATTCTAGAGTGAGTTAAAATGCTATCTCGTCTATTTGCTTAACTAATTCACTCTCTTTTTCCTTTCGAGTCTTTAATTGAAGTTATAATGAAATCTATTCTTACATTTTTGCATTTAGTTATCTTAAACTTGACTTCATTTTCAAATGATTTGATGTTCTTTATAAGAGACTCGTCGTGGTCCTATCAATGTTTGATAAGAATGTTTTTAATTTACTTCTCTTTGATTTTACTCATCTTCTAGCTTGCCAAATAGTTCATGAGTCTATTCCTTAAAGATTTTGAACTTTTGCTCATCTGCAACTAATGACTTAGTGATAAGTCCATCAAGCTCATGAATGGCATTTTCAATTCTTTCTTTTTTTACCTATTTTAATTATTACGGAATACAATTAATACCTATTTTCCTTCCTCTAAATCATTGCCTAGTCCTGAAAGTTTTTCGCATAAATTCTTTAATCTTTCTTAGTTAGGGCTCATTGTTTAGTCTATGATTAATTTAAGAATAGAATCTTACTAGAAATGTTTGTAGGCGCATAATGAGCGTCGTACGAATTATCGAGATTTCTTACAGTGGTGCCACCATTAGCACCGTAAAGTTATCTTTCTTAGTTCCCATTGATAAAGCTAGTGGTGTTATTAGCAGGCGAAATAGAATTGTTAAGCTATTCTTGCTTATGATTTGAGCGAGTGAGAAGTCCGCTGGAAGAGCCGTCTCTGTTCAATAATTTATCTCTCATTTTCATAAATTTGAATTCAATTATTTAATTTACTAACTGATTAAGAAATTAAAATTAATATTGCTGCTATATAACTATAAATTCATTAAGTTTTGTACTAAGATCAAGTTTCTATTTGTAATGCATATTTCCATTTTCAAAAGTCCTAATTGTCTTGATACTGCTAATTCATTTTCTCTGGGGAAGATCTATTCAGAGAAGCTACAGCTTTTAACTTAGTCTAACTACTTCTTACTCTTTCCCAACCGCCATTAGTCTTATTCTCCTCCTACACTTCTTAAATCTAGCCTAGATTGACATTAGCATTATTTGGTGTCTTTGGATTCTTATCAATTGCAAAAGACTATTTAGATCTAGTTTAGTTTGATAGTGCAGATTATGAAGTGGCGTTGTTTCCCCCTTATGATGTTTTTCTTTGTTAAGATTTAGGCTTTTCAGTAATCTAATATCAATAAATTGGAATAAATTCTTACTCCTAAAGATTTTTTTAGTTATGTAATTCTCAGCTCTTGCTCTTAAATATCGATCATTGTCTGATCCCTTTCCCTTCGTAATGCACCAAGCTGAATCATTTCCTCAATTTACTTTTTCATTTGTTATTATTCTAAATTTAATTAGGTTACTAAGATAAGAAATACCTTGTTCAATAGCTTAGTCTTTTGTAATCAGGTCATTAAATGTAGATTTTAGATCGAAAAGCTAATCTTACTTGTCCTTTACTATCAATTGAATTTCAGATAAAAATCTCTAAGATTTAACTCTATTCAATGCAAACACCTAATCTACCATTAGGATGGCCTTTTCATGTTAAGTGATTCTCTTATGAAGAATTGACTCATTGTAGTATATATGCTTAGTGACATCACACTGAAGAGCTAGATCTTGCTATAGAACATTCATGAGTGTAAACCTTCTTTCCTTAAATAGCTTGTCATTTTCAATCCACTTTTTTTATTTTAATGTCAGCTTCTCCTGTAATCTTTTCCTACTAACTTCTAAAGTTTCAATTTTTAGCAATAGTTAACTAAATAAAATAATTATAATGTAATTTACGTAATATTTTGAAGATTCTCTGCAAAAGAGATTGTTGTCCTTGCCTTTGAAAGGGGATTCACATCTCTAAAGTTTCTACTTTTTCTTCTCTTAGTGTACTTATCATCTGCTTCATCATCGTGATAAATCTAATCTTAAGCTGCTGTTTCAATGTTATGCTCTTCCTCTTGGAGTTATCTCTATGCTTTGTCAATGTCCTCTGAAAAATCCCTAACTTTAAGAATATAGCTTTCTCTTTTAAATCCATCTATCGAGATGTTTCCAACCATCAGATAGAGGTCGAAGTATTTTTTTCTAATCAAATATTTTTCTGAGTTTCGGTTTATAAGTTTCTATGATTCCCACAATTAAAACATGTTAATTTGATAACTCTAAGCATAGTTAAAAAGATTAAATTATTTTACCTTCATTATATGCTCTTTGATTTGATTTAGGTCTAGATTGTTGAGGCTCTAGATAGAGAATAATTTTCCAGCTAGTTTTCCCTGGGCATATTGATTTATCTCATCAAATTTAATGAAAAATGGTACTTTGATATCCTTTTCATTAAGAATCTCTTAGAACAGTGTTTAGTAGTGCTTTTTATTCAACAATTCATTCACTTCATTTTCATGCTCAAATGTAATCAGATAGCCATGATCTCTTCTATCGTATTTCTAGTAACTCTTGTCGACTTTGATTTGATCTAACAACAATGCCTGAGCTTCCTCTTAATTTTACTAAAACGTAGACATGTAAGACATTGTCACCATTTCATTATACTTTTTGGTGATTGACCCTTCATGGAAAGCGTCCAAATTCATTTACAAATAGGATTGAACATTTAAAGGCTTCTAAAATTTCTCTTCAGTTTCTTTGAATTCACTAATAACTTCATTATTGTGTAGCTTTGAGTCGTTTTGTTTCAATCTCTCCATCATATGTAGATCCTCTTGCAAAATCTCATGCAGTATCTTATCTCTGTATTCTAGGTATATATTTTTCATTCCAAAGAGATTCATCAAAAGTATGAAATCTAGAGGATGTCTTTTTATTTCACATGAAGTTCTCACAAACACAGTTCTCAAATGTGCTTTTTCTATATCTCTACTTAAGTACTTGGCATTGACACTTTCACTTAGCCTGCTTAAAGTTTCATCCTACATATACAAGTTTCCAATTGAAGTTTCTGTTCTCAACTTTTAAATACATTAATCGAATTCATCTGGTTCAAATATCTTTAGCAACTAACTGAACTTAATGAAGTCAGTAATGTTCACTATATTTTCAAGCAAGAGTTTAAAATTTAACTTTTCTTCAGGATCTGATTCATCTCTTACAAAATTGAAAACCCATTTAAGATTTTCGATTCGCTCTTAGGTTAAAATAATTGAGTCTTTATTGTAGGATTTTTTAGTAAAATAGTAATCAAAAGACTGAATAAACATATCAAGCGGCACTCTATAATAATCAGAAAAGTGATTCTGCCATATTTTTTTAATAGATGGAGAAGAAACGAAAAACTCTGCTTTGATTTCAAAATTATTAAGTATCGAAATCAACTCTGAGTCCATCTTTTCCTTGATGATTTTGCTGGTTTCAGATATTTCCTTCACGCTTTTAGTTTTTGTTCCGCCTGTGCTAAGAACATTTTTAGCTACTTATTCATATTCAGGACTCTTGGTAATCTTATCATAAAAAGCAAGTTGCTTGCTATTCAGAGTCTAAAGGAAAAGCTGAATTAGATAAATTTTGTCAAATATTGATTCATCCTAGGGATCTCTTGATTCAGGGAAAAGCTTCAATAGCACCATTACTGTCTTATAGCATCTCTATATAATCTGAGATATGAACTTCTTAAATCTCATTCTAAAAAACTTTAGCCTGGAGGTGTCAGAAAACAACACACCCTCAGAATAAGCAACTCTTATTGCAAGCTCAATGACTCGCGGAGTTCTTCTTAGGTAAGCGCTGAAAAATGTAACAAAATGCTCAAGCTAGATTCTCGTCTTGAATCCTGGAGGCAGTTCTATGGGTATTTAGTTTAATTCTGATAATGAGGGTTAAGAAGCTGGTTTCATGCTACCTCGAGACCCCTATGCACTTCCTGTATTTTTATTGTCATATCTTTATGGACCTGGCGCACCTTTTTTCAATAATGGATTTCCATTATTTTTCAAATATTTACTAACTCTTTCTAGTATTTTTACATATTCCTAGGTTTCTCCAATAATCTATTGAAGTATAGTTTGTCCGTAGGCACCTTGTCCTGGGGCTATAGATGCTAAATTATAAGAGGAGAGTAAAGTCTGTAGTTCAAGAATAGATAGATTAATGTTATCTTCCATTTAAATTTGTAAATATTAGGTTGAATTACAAAAATTATAAATTAACAAATTTATTGGTTCACTGTAAACAAGATAAAGCAAATCACACTATCTTTGGAGTTGTTCCAACTAGATCTTCCTTATCCTTCCTAAACTTCTTCTCAAATTATTTCTCTCTCAATTCAATTAATGCATCTTCGAATGTGTCCTTTGTCATCACAGTTCTGTAGAATTTGAAGCCTTGATGAGAACTATTGACCTCTTCTAGACTATCAATTTCCCTTTTTAGATTTTCTATTTCCTTCTCGATTTCAGATTAATCTTGAGAGTTAGACTTCTCGAAAAATTTGTTGATCTTTTCAATGTCATTATCACTGGCAGACTGCAGAATCTTCAAGACATTATCCTTTTTCTTCTGAGCTTCTTCTCCTTCCTCTCCAATATTATAAATTTCCTTGTAAACCTCGATCTATGCCTTAGCTTTTAAGGGATCAAACAGTTTCTTATCCTGAGTGTTCTACTCCAACTCTGTCATATTTCTGTTGAATCTTTTTGACATATAGATTCCTGTAAGACAAGTATGACATATAATGTAAATATCTTACCAAGACCGATACCAACTACACTAGTTTTATTGAGTAGAACAAGATCAACTACTCTCCTAAAAGCTCTTGCCATTTCTATGATTAATAATAATTTTATATTTTTTATTGTTAATTTTGAAATACTGATTATCTTGAGGGGGTTTGGGGTTTTGGGG